TGGCTTAGTTTCAAAAATCTACTTTGTAGCAGTAAGAAACACTGCAGCATGTTTCTAAAGCGTAACTATATGTAACAGGCATTGAAGTGATTGATATGAAAAGTTTTAATGATGATTTTGGGATTACTACATTGAGCTGTTGATTAATCCCAAGGGTCAGGTCTGTGCTGCAGTCACCTTGACACCCAGAGAGGGCTGGCAGTCTGGGCATAATGTCAAGTCCTCACTCAAAAGAGTCAAGATTCATAGAAAGTAAATTGCACCAGAATAGAACAAACAGATTCTAATGCTCAGACCACAGATGGATCCTCTGAATAATCCCTAAATTCCACATCTCTTGCTACAGCTTCTGGGTTCTACCTCCCTTTTCAGTAAGTACTTTCTTATAACAGCATTTGGAAGCATCAGTACATATGGGCAAGCTCTTCCTCCTACACACTCTTTGTCAAGCCACAGAAATGAAGCAGTATTACACAAGAAACCCTCTTTTAAATTCTTGACAGGTAAAATGGTCACCCACTATTAGACGGTATTTTTACTGACAGCCTTCTTTATAGGAAGAACTGGATTACTAACCGAAAAAGCTTCAATCTTTTGTTCGTGTTATTAGTTAGTAGGACAGGATGGGCTTCCTGTTTTATACAAAGAAGTTACAAGTGTTTTATACTTAGGAATGACAAGACATAAAAGGATATTTACTGTATTTTAAGGTATGTATTAGAAAATTATGCAGACAAACATGCGCAGACTTACAGAGTAAAAACAGGGACTGAGGACCCAGCAACCTTCCTGTGCACATCTGTAGCCTTTGTGCATGGGAAGTGAGGAAAGGTTTCTGGAAGCCATGCACTTTCCTCAGTCAGGTCAACAGAGAGACAAAGGGCATCACCTACTGGCATAATCAGCAACATAATTCATACAGCCAAAAAATTCTGAATAAACATGATACTTCTGCACAAGGCCATGTCTATCTTGGATACCACTGTGTTCATTCTTCCGGGATATAAATCATGTCATCTTTCTCCAAAATATAGGTTCTGAATTCACTAAATAAAATATCACTTTTAGCATCAAAAGACCTGTGACACATAGTTGGGCAGTAATAATTAGATAGTACACAGGAGCTGGCAAACTTATTTTCTGAGGTTATATATTTTCTGGACAGCTGAGCTACTGTCATAGATAAAACCCTGGATAGATTAAAGGAGCTGATAAGAAATCATAGAATCATAGAATAGTTAGGGTTTGGAAAGGACCCTAACACCATCTAGTTCTACCCCCCCTGCTGTGGTGAGAGACACCTCACACTAGACCATGTCGCCCAAGACTGTCCAACCTGGCCTTGAACACTGCCAGGAATGGAGCATTTATCACTTCTGTGGGCAACCTGTTCCAGTGCCTCACCACCCTTACAGTAAAGAATTTCCTCCTTATATCCAATCTAAACTTCCCCTGTTTAAGTTTGACCCCATTACCCCTTGTTCTATCACTACAGTCCCTGATGAAGAGTCCTTCTCAGGCATCCTTGTAGGCCCCCTTCAGATACTGTAGGCTGCTATGACTCTCTATGCAGACTACTGGTCCAGTCTGAACAACCTGAATTTTCTCAGCCTGTCTTCATACGGGAGGTGCTCCATCCCCCTTATCATCCTCATGGCCCTCCTCTGGACTTGTTCCAACAGCTCCATGTCCTTTTTATGTTGAGGACACCAGAACTGTACACAATACTCCAGGTGAGTTCTCACAAGAGCAGAGTAGAGGGGCAGGATCACCGCCGTCTATCTGCTGGTCACGCTCCTTTTGATGCAGCCCAGGATATGGTTGGCTTTCTGGGGTGCAAGTGTACACTACCACCTCATGTTCAGTTTCTCATCAGTTGACACCCACAAGTCCTTCTCCGCAGGGCTGCTCTGAATCTCTTCTCTTCCCAACCTGTAGCTGTGCCTGGGATTGCCCTGACCCAGGTGTAGGACCTTGCACTTTGCATTGTTGAATTTCATGAGGTTGGCATCAGCCCACCTCACAATCGTGTCGAGGTCCCTCTGGATGGCATTCCTTCCCTCCAGGGTATCAACCGAACCACACAACTTGGTGTCATCGGCAAACTTGCTGAGGGTGTGCTCAATCCCACTGTCCATGTCAGCGATGAAGATGTTAAACAAGACCGGTCCCAACACCGTTCCCTGATGGACGCCACTCGTTACTAGTCTCCAGCTGGACATTGAGCCATTGACCACAAGTCTTTGTGTGTGGCCATCCAGCCAGTTCTTTATCCACCGTGTGGTCCATCCATCAAATTGATGTCGCTCCAATTTAGAGACAAGGATGTGTGTGCGACAGTTGTCAAACGCTTTACACAAGTCCAGGTAGATGACATCAACTGCTCTACCGCTGTCCATCAGTTCTGTAGCCCCATCACAGAAGGCCACCAAATTGGTCAGGCAGGATTTCCCCTTAGTGAAGCCATGCTGGCTGTCCCCAAGCACCTTGTTGTTTTTCATGTGCCTTAGCATGCCATCCAGGAGAATCTGCTCCAAGATTTTGCCAGGCACAGAGGTGAGACTGACTGGTCTGTAATTCCCCGGGTCATCCATTTTTCCCTTCTTGAAAATGGGGGTTATATTTCCCTTTTTCCAGTCAGTGGGAACTTCACCTGACTGCCGTGATTTCTCAAATATGATGGCCAGCGGCTTCGCAACTTCATTTGCCAGCTCCTTCAGGACCTGTGGATGGATCTCATCAGGACCCACGGACCTGTACTTAAGTGCCTTCAAGTGGTGGGCCTGCCAGGCCTCATTTTCCTCACTACTAGCATGTGCCTTTGAGAAGGAGTCAAGTAAGGCTTTTAAAACAATCCCATTCTGCCAATTGATTGTATAATAAATAAGAATCTTTTTGCCATTCTTCTCATGAAGAATATGGTTGCCTAATTGGGATAGACTGCCTTAGGGTCTCATACTTTAGCCCCTTTGAATTGTCTTTCTGCCCCATAAAGCAATGGGTAACTTCCTTTATGTGAGGTACATAAGAGTGATTCGTGTCAGCAACTCAGGGGTCCTAGTGATCATTGCACTTTGTGTGGAGATGGAATCCCTTGTGATCATTGTGCTATGTGCAAAGGGTATGATAAGTGTCCCTGTCTATACCACAGTGAAGAGGAAGAAGAAAGAAGGGAATAATTCCCCTGGGTCAGTCGCAGTATTGTGCAAAGAAATGTTTTGTTCATTGTTTAAATTGCATTAATGTCCTTAGAAAGGGGGGGGGGGGGGGGGGTAGGTAACTTAGAGATAGGTCCTGTTACAGAACGTTGTGAAATCTGTGAGCTGAACAAATAAACACATAAGGAGTGGAATTTATGGGGGCTAAGATGGTGGTCAAACTTGTGATAGACATAATATTTCTTCACCCGGAGACAAGACCCAAACAACAGGTGGAGAAGCCCGAGAAAAGAAGACAACAGGGTTGGCTGAAACCCAAGAAGCCCGGGAAACCAAAAAGTATAAGAGACTATCCCCAGAAGTTCCCCTCGTGTGTCTCAGGCGGAGCAGAGACTCCCCGGCACACCCAGCACTGCTTGCTTATTGTCTCTCGATATTAATTATAATAAAAATCAATTAAAACAGATTGGCTAGGTTTTTATAACACTTTATTCTTTATATAATGGAACACCTTAATACTTTGTTGCTATAGAACAAAAAAGTTTCAGGCATGGCTGCACATTTTTGTCACATTAGCGGTTTAAGAAACAAATACAGTTATAGTAGAATACATCAGAAAAGTTACTAGCAGGAGGAAGCTGTAACACAGTAAGTTGGCCACTGGAACCTTTAAGCCTGCCCTTAGGAAAGAGGAAGAAACCCTGCTTTGAAAACAATGATTCTGTTCTAAATGCTGCTTTGTAGGTGTATTACGATTTCTTGTACTGTTGTTCCAATTGATTCAGTCTAATCCTGTGTGTGACTTCAGAGGGTTACCTGTGTCTGTTCTATTTTCAGGAACATTGCATTCAATTTTTTTTTTTAAATTAAGTACACTGTAAAAGATCTGTATATACTAACATAGTATCTTTGACTGTGGTACGGTTTTGTTTCATGAATGTAAGCATTTCCACCTGTCTGTCTACAGCCAGTGATGAACAAGAGCTGGAAAGCTGGTGGCCCTGATGAAAACAATCTCTGATTGTCTGAAAGAGTGACAGTTAGGTTTTCTTTGTTTTTCCTCAAAGTGGGGAAGATGAGCAGAACATGCCTTATTTTTGCTGTATTCATTTACAAAGTACTTGCAATTCTTTGATGATTTTTTTTTTTTCCACTGGTGGGAAAGAAGGATGAGCACATCACCATCCAGGATTTTTTTTTCTCCCCAGTGTTAATTAGTATGTAAAGGTTATGTAGGTGTGGATGAGAATGGTGTCAAATCAATTCATAAAATTATCTAGGAGCATTTCTAATCTATGGAAACACAGCCAGGGATGGAGCAAGCCACAGCTTTTCTGGGCAATCTGTGCCAGTGCCTCACCAACCTCACAGGGTAGAACTTCCTAAGAGCTCATCTCAGTCTCCCCTCTGTCAAGTCAAAGCCATTGCCCCTTGTCCTGTCCCTACAGGCCCTTGTCAAAAGCCCTTCTTCAAATTTCTTGTTGACCCCTTTAGGCACTGGAAGCTGTTCTAAAGTCTCTCTGGAGCCTTCTCCAGGCTGAACAAGCCCAGATCTCTCAGCCCGGCTCTAGAGCAGAGCTGCTCCAGCCCTCGCAGCATCTCAGTGGCCTCCTCTGGACTCACTCCAACAGCTCTACGTCCCACTTGTGCTGGAAACTCCAGAGCTGGACACAGTCTTGTGGTACATTTTAGATAGTTTAGATCTCTTTCAAGGGACTGAAATCAGCCTGAATAAACAGTGGTGCAATGTCCCAGATGAAATATCAAAAATGTAATAATTCTTAGCTTTTTTGTTTTCCATTCTGTTCACCATTAGTAACAAAAGCTTTTCTTTGCCTGCAGCATGTATTATCTCTGTGCCATATGCAGTGAGCTTGCAAAACTGCAAGGTAACTTGTCATATATATTTTATTTCTCCACCTTCCCGCTAAGTTCCTGAAAAAGTTGATGTACAGCTTGAGGTTCTTTCCCGTTGCAGTAGTTGATATGCAGCAATTTTGGCAGCAGTTCTTTGCTTACAGGTAAAATTATTTCCTTTGGGCTACACATTTCAAAGAAAATTCATATGCTTTCTTGGAAAAATGCAGGGGAGAATAGAGAAGATGAAGCAGACTGTACTGCTTTTTTGCTTTGCTTTGGATTACAGAATCATAGAATAGTTAGGGTTGGAAAGGATCTTAAGATTATCTAGTTCCAAACCCCATTTCATTATATTATGAAATTTATACATTAATCTACTTACTTTTTTTTTTTTTCTAATGACAGGTAGACAAGGCTGTATATTTGGAAGATACCGACACAGATGAAGAGACATGCAGTGGTAGGATCCCTCCCCCACTTTCATATTTACTATCATTGTCTGTCTTTGGATGCAAGTGTATGGACTTTGTTTAAAAAACTTTTTTCCTCTGAAAAAGATATTCTTCCTCAGTTCTATTGTTAGAAAATTCCCCAATCAAATGATTTATTTCCTCACTCTAGGAGGTAATGAGATAATAAATTATAAGGAATATTTATTATACTGTGTCTGTCCTGGTGAGCAGGGCTGGGGATTTTTTGTTGTTTTTTGGTTTTGTTTGTTTGGGTTTTTTTTGTCAATTTTTTTGTTTGTTTGTTTTTTGTTTGTGTTTTGGTTTTTTTTTTTCAGAATTGCAAAGCGCTTATTTTTAGCATCATTTCCACATTTTTTCTGCACTTCTTTTTCTGCAGTTGAAATTATTTTGATTACGAAGTTTTCTCCACAAAGTATTGTGGGTGCTAAGAGAGTTCTGTGAAGTGGAAATATTTAATAACAATGTCTCTACCTATTAAAATTATTCCATCCTGGGGTTAATAAATGAGCCTAATTTTGAATTTACAGTGAACTCCTTTAAGAATTCCAATTAGGAGCATTTGGATTTCTGTTCAAGTGTTCTGTATATCTATAATAATTATAACTCTTCCACCTCTAACAAGTAAAGAGAAACCTAGTGTCTGTAGTTGTTTGTCTGCCATAGTTGCTTGTGTGGTTTTTATTACCATCAGCATTGACAACCTTTTAGTGATTAAATTAGTTTTCCTCGTCTATAGTTGTTACTGCACAAAGCAACCAAGCTACACAGATGAAGGGATTTGCTTAAGGTCACTGAAAGAAGCTGGTACAGAACAGGACTTTGGTCCTTACTTATTGCTATTTGATGAGTCTGTCTAATACATTAAAGATTTGTTTAGTCTTTCCTTGCTGTAGGTGCAGTCAGAGGGCTTAGAGATTTTTAAGCCCTCTAAACTTCTAGTTGATTTAATATTTGGAGTTTGACTGTAACTTGCAAGGAAATAATAAATCAGCATGTCAGGTTTACAGCAAATATTTTCTCCAACGTGGGTATCTCAGGAAGGAAGAAGTAAGGTAGAAGTCTTGTATCAGGTACAAAGATTTCTTTTGAGTGCTGTGTTCAAATGTATCCATTTTTCCCTTTGTAGGACATTGTTTTGTGTTTATGCTTTAATTTCTGATAATATCTATATTTTCCCAGGGCTTACTAGTGGAAGAATAAACCTACAGTTCACTTCTATCATAATGAAATGAGAATTCAATCTGTCTAGTTCATGGAAGTAGAGTTAGATAGCTCTAGTTCAAAACAGGCCAAAAATTGGATGATGAGAAATAAACCCCACACTAAAATATCAAGCAGGGCAGTGAGGAAAGAAGAGCTCTGCTAGAGCTCACCACTTTCTGGACCATGTTTCTCTCTAGGCTTTTCAGTCATCTCTGTGTATTTTTTGTCTGCAAGAGTAAATGTTAATCACATTTAGAAACTCCTAGTAAAACAGACTGTATTTGAACACGATGAGAATTACAAAAATGATCCTCTGCTTGTAGTATCTAAATAGCACTTTATGCAAGCCACACTGGGAAAACTTTTCAGTTAGTGCTTTTATAGGTGATTATAAAAGCAATAAACATAACATTATACTACCACTACTGTAGATAAATGTGCTAACTACTCGCTTTTTACATGACATTTGATTTGGCTTTGAATTTCTGCTCTCCCAGCTCTTCTAGGGGACAGCACCCCCTGCACAAACTCTGCACAGACTGCTTCAGTGCAGAAAGAAGCAATTTCAGAGAATCATAGAATCACAGACTGGTTTGGTTGGAAGGGACCTTAAATCTCATCCAGTTCCAACCCCTTCCACTAGACTAGAACACCTTCCACTAGACCAGGTTGTTCCGAGCCCCATCCAGCCTAGCCTGGAACACTGCCAGGGATGGGGCAACCACATAGAAACCATACCAACAAAATGCTAATCAAAATACAAAATGGTGTTGCTTCTATTGTTTGTAGTAATAAAGTAATACAAAAATTATCCGTACTAACCACTTCAGTAAAGGATTAATTCTGAGTAATTCCAGTTAGTTTATTAGTGAGGCAAAAAGTGTGACAGAATTTGGAAGCCATTCTGTTGTTGTCCTTTTTAAATGCTGCCACCTGTATGTCAGAACAAATGGTAGATTAAATACTTCTTACTGAGAAAACAAGCTAAGACACCTAGCAAAAAATATCTTACCTTGCTAGTGTAATTACAACAAGTTTTTATCTCTGCTTGTCATTGGCAACAGTTGAGTATCTTAATTTTTCTTTTAGCTTTAAAGGGCAGATCAGTAAGCTTAGTCAGCAATTTTACATTAGTACAATATTTGCACTCAAGGGTAAGTGGCTCAAAGTTTACAGTGTGAGAAGCATGGTACAAAATAGAATCATAGAATGGTTAGGGTTGGAAGGGACCTTAAAGCTCATACATAGGCAGGGACACCTTCCACTAGACCAGGTTGCTCCAAGCCTGGGACAGGGTGTTGGAACTAGATGAGCTCTAAGGTCCCTTCCAACACAAACCAGTCTATGATTCTATATCAGTTTCATCCTAATTCAACTTGGACTGCTGATGTACTGTAAACTTTTCTTTTCAAGTTTTCAGTTCTCTGTTACCCTGCAGAGGTTGAGGAGAATCATATAATAGTTAGGGTTGGAAAGGACCGGAAGATCATCTGGTTCCAAGACCCATGCCGTAGGCAGGGACACCACGCACTAAAGCATGTCACCCAAGACTCCATCCAACCAGGTTTTGAACACTGCCAGGGATATCCAGAAAAATCATGTTGAGGAAGAGGATTTAGTTAAATTATGTGGATTTTTTTCAAGTACAGGGTTCCCTTCAACTGGTAAATCTCTCCCTTTTTTATTTCTCCTTTCTTTGCAATCATTTAACACTGCCATGTTGATTTCACGCTAGGTAGGTCTTTGGGGCCAACACCCTGAAGACTGAGAATCAGAGGAGACAAGAACATTTAGCTTTTAAGCTTTTTTCTTTATCACTGCCCCTGTCCTCAGCCCCCCATCAACAGCATTTTCATGAAATGTAGTGCCTGAAGGTGGTAAGACCGGTGTTTTACCAGCTGAGCATCATTTGGCTACAGTAAAGCTAAAGATACAGACAAAACTTTGAATTTCACTCCTGAAAGTTCAAATCAGATTTGTGTCAATAGATTTATTTTCCTGTACTTGTAATTAATGTCAATGGTACAAAATGAGGAAAAAAACCCAACTGAGTAGTGTTCACACATTTAGTAATCACTTTTTGTGGGTCTGTTTTGTGTGTGTGGGGAAAGGGACTGAACAGAAAAGAATTGCTCAGTTTCCAAATATGCCCTCATTAAAGTGTGCTGGACATGGGTAAACCACTGGAGTTTGCTGCTGTTATCACCAGGAAGTTCATTCTTCATGGTGTGAGGGGTGTGTTCTGAAATCTCAGATTTTTGGTATCGCTGCCTCCTCTTACCTCTGTATGTGGTGCCATTGGCAGGATCCAAGGCTTTCCAAGGATTTAATTTTCCTTTCACCTCCACAGAGAACATAATTAGTGGCTTAATTAGGATCATCGTCCACTAGTGCTGTAACATCAGGCTAAACCAGCTGTGAGGTACTGGCCAGAACTTACGATAGTGTACAGTTCCTTTAGGAGCTTCCACTAAGAAGGAAGAGTGTCAAAACTCCCTAATCTTTCTGAAGGAGTTTCTTGATTAAACATTATGAGGGGAAGCAGAATTTACCAATTAGACTTTCATATACTGTCATCAGCCAGGCTAGAGAGACAAAGTTCATGTCTGGCATGTCTACTGGCAAACAGAGATTGATTACCATTCTCATGGGATGTTTGAAAGGAATCTGAAACATTGTTTGCATTACTAACGAGCCTTAAAATAGTGGAGTTGACATTCTGAGGGTGTCAAGTAGTTCTTGCTAAAAGGAAAAATACCTTTCCTTCTGTTGTCCTCATTTTTAAAGGTTGCCTTTCTGAGCCATTGCCAGCCTGTTGTGTAACAGTGCTTCCTCCTCATCTCTCCACAGGTTGGTTTGTTGAGGGGTGAGCCCTCTCAATAAAGGAAGAAGTGTTTATATCAAGAGGTGATACAAACCTCCTAATGTCCAGGCTTTCCTTCCTTCAGTGGTGATATATATTTATTTGTAAACAGCAGTGGAAGATGCAGTTGCCTCTAAAGGAGCATTCAAATCATCCTTCTGTCCTACAAATAGTTTTGGCCCAAGTTATAAAAGATGGAAAAAAGGAGTTGAAGAGCGTGTGAAGACATAGCATATATATTTGTGGGCTGCACTGCTCTTTTCAGAAAGCTTTCTCATGTAACTGATGCAGAATAAGATAAGATGCTATACTGAGAACAAGGACTGTAAGCACATAGGTGACTAGAGATAGATAAAAGCAATCAATGTAATAGGGATGAAAATGAAACCACTTATACATGAATCATGAACTAAAAGACAAAACCCCCAGAATGAAATACCCCAAGGAATGAATTCATTTTGCATGAGCTCTATGTTAAAGAACATTCTACTACACAATTGCAAAGCCCTGCTGGCTTTGAAATACTATGCAATTCCCAGAAGAAAACTAAATGAAGAATTAAATAATGCATTTTTTATGAAGGCCTAGCTAGGAAATCATTATGGTCTCATTTATAATCTCATTTATAGGAGAATGAGAAGTGTGTAACTCCACTACTGTGGCAAAAGTGTGCAGGTAAAGGTAAGTAGCCATTTCTTCCTTTTAACCCTGGATCTATGTACCATCTTATTGCTTCCTTTAACTAACATTTAAGCAACACTTTGAAAATTTAGTCTAAGCTACTAAAATGTACTATAAAGCTGTAAAGAAACTGCTGTATCAGCCAGAAAAAATAGTAGGTTAGTTTTACATAATTCTTTGAATAAATTGCAAAACATATGGTGCTCTGAAGTACCTTCATAAAAACATTACTGAGACAAGATAGACGCATCTGTGCTGTAGCAGAGCTGAGATTGATTCATGTTAAAGGATATTTCTAAACCTAAGGCATATCCTTCTGAGCTGTCACAGAAAGCAAACCTACTGTTCCCAATAGACACATTTTGCTTACATACGTAAAGAAAAAGTGATTCAGAAAGTCCGTGCATTTGTAAACACTGGACCAAATCCTGACTGTATGGAAAGGTTATGTGTTCCCATGTCCCAGGTGTAGGGAAGTCCTCTCAGGTACCTCTTTTTTTTGACAGCTCTTGGAGGAGCAAACATCCATGAAATATCCTTGGACAAAAGAGTCATCTAGCACTGCAGTGGGGAGTATTAGTAGTTCCAGCAGGTGTTTTTACTTAATGTTTCAGGAGAGTACTTTAAGATGCAAAGATCTTTATGCCCAATGTACAAGTAGTGAAAGTCCAGTGAAAGAGAATTGAATGAGACTGCCCAGTTAATCAATGGCAAGACCAGGATTCAGTCTGGTATTTTATAACTCCTGCTGCAGACATCTCTGCTCAGGACCTTCCTACTTTACTATGAAAGAGATGAACTGAATCCCAGGTGCTCTCTGAGCTTAGGAGTGTCTACATCCTGATTTTTAATTCAGTGTCCTCAAGATAGAAGAGCTACCTGCCTGTTTTCAACCAAGTTTGATTTTTACTTAGCATAGTGTAGTTTACTATCTAGCTTTTAGCTCAGGGACTGCATGGATCTGTTTTGAAGATAGCTGCCTATATTATGCAAGAATAAGTACAGCACGCTTTGAATAACAAATTGCTGCCTATGTCTGAGCACTACAGGTTTTTACACAGGATTTTGAAATTTATACATTGAATGGAAGGTTAAAGTTGATTTATTTTTTTTTTATTCAACAGGGTCATTACTTCTCCCAGGAGAGGTGGAACAGACAGTGACTTATTGTACACCTTTTTTTGATAAACCCATGTAACTGAAGTCCAGGACCTTGTCAATTCCCCAGCCATCGGACAGCAAAACCCAGGAGGTATGAAGTCATGTTTGTTTATTTAAATATTGGCTTCTAACATTATTTCCACAAAAACAGAGAGATAAAGATGGAGAATGTGGAACTGCTATAAGTTAACAAGTCACATTATTGATTTTTTGCATTAAGAATTAATGAAAAAAATACGTTACGAACTGAGATAAAAACTCTTAACAGAAAGTTACTATTTTGTCTTGCACAGAGCTGCTGTATAATCTGACATTTTCAAAATGTGTACTTCAATACTTTAAACTGTGTGTGTGATTTTTAGTATTTAGTTGGTGCAACTCACAAAATACTCAAGTAAACTCTTGCACTTTCTGACTTTTTAACAAATCATTACTCATGTAGAATGATGGGTCATGTAATTTTCCAGTGATCTCATGATCTTATGACATAGTACAATTTTCATTGGGCTGAAGATAGGAAAAATCTTTTGCAACAAGAAGTTAACGAATAATCGCTTTAACGTGACAATTAAAAGTAAAGAAGGTTTTAGAATATATTGTGATCAGAATTGGTCATTTTCCTCTTGGAAATGAACAGTAGCAAGGTGCTGCTGAGAATCTGCGTTGTCTAGGTCTGACATGGAAAGATTTGCTTTATGGAGTCTGAGCCTTTTAATCAGTCACAATCGCTACATGAAAATGGCCATTTTTCCTCAGAAATTCAGTTCTTTCCAAGCTTCCAGAAGGTGTGGATGGCTTACAGGCTGATTTTAAGTCATTAAGCTTCCTATTCAAGTAGAGTGTGAGCATTAAGTTTTGGGGATTTCTATTGCATAGTTCTTCACCACTCTTTTTGCCTGCCTGATCATTGTAATAGAAGCTGAAGTTAGGTGCTGGCTGAAATAGGCCAGTTTTGGTAGTTTCATGTGCTTATTGATGTCCCATGAGGCTTAAATCAAGTTTATAAATGATGTGTGACCAGTGAAAGTTCGATGTTACAGCAGTGCATATGGTACCTCCTTTCCTGAGCTCAATTGCATTTAGCTCTTTGCAATAAACTCTTTACTATAAGAAACAAGTCTGCTTTGGGAAAAAGTAAATGTTCTAAAATGACCTTTCAAGCTTTACTATCCACCATTTTGTGAATAAAAATGCTGACCCTTTTCCCTAAGGACTGACATAATTCAAGGTTTTTACCTTGAGAAGTATCCCTTGGCACACAGAAAAACCAACCTAGAATGACATTTTATAGTTTTCTTATCTGGTAACTTCTGTATAAAACCAAAGGAGGGTTGTGGCAGCCAACAGTGTTCATAAAGGATTGCATGTGACCCTTTAAACTATAATTCATGGAAAATAGATGACGATCCCACTGCATGCAAAATTCCTTTGTGTTTGAGTAAAAGTTGCTTTATAAAAGAGAAACTGAGTACTATTACGTTGCTTAGAGTTTCACAGAATCATAGAATCACAGATTGGTTTGGGTTGGAAGGGACCTTAAAGCTCATCCAGTTCCACTCCCTGCCACAGGCAGGGACACCTTCCACTAGACAAGATTGCTCCAAGCCCATCCAACCTGGCTTTGAACACTACCAGGGATAGGGCAGCCACAGCTTCTGTGAACAACCTGTGCCAGTGTCTCACTGCTGCATTTTTCAAGGAGAAAGACTTAAGATTTTCATAACCATTTGGTTGGTGCCAAGCTACTCAAGATGAAAGCAGTCTATTCCCTAAATAATACATGTATTTGTGGCTTCATTTAGATTATATAACTGTGGCCTGATTTTTAGAATGTCAAGGCTGAAGAGGTCCATTTTAAAATAATTCTGTTCTTTAAGTTCTCATTGCCTTGGAAGTTAAGGTTTGTATTGCTTATGGCAGGACTAGTTTAGAAAGAGAAAAATATTTTCCCTGGAGACATTCCTACTTTGAAATGAGGCTGTTCTCTGCCCATCAAAGCAAATCTGTTAGGGAAGGGCAAAACTATTCCCTATGAAAAACAAACAAGCTTCAAAAATAGTTCAATGTAGGATGTCAAATGTCTGTTACAGATGCATCTGTGAAGGACTTTAGGGCAAGGTGTGTATTGCTGAATGTATTGCTAGGGAAAGTTTAAAAAAAGAAGCTCTGTTAAGACCCAGTGTCTGACTTGGCTAATTTTTAAAGAACAGATTGTCTCCCTGAAAATGTTTTTTTGTCAAAAGCAGTTGGAAAGAGGCTTAGTGAATGACACAGCAAATTATTTATGTTGTTCACCAGTGTTGCTTCATCTTTCTTCCCTGGTTTTAGCATAAATATATTTCTGAATTTCAATATCAACAGTGCAATATTCATGACTTCCCACAGGTCACTGAAAATTCAAACAGCATTAACTCCATTGTTGAAGTACGTTATCACAGAAGATTTACCTTCCCTACCCAGATATTTATTCTGTCCTTTATTTCTACTTAATAGTTTATTTCATAAAACACATTAGAGTTTTTTGCTTCCTAGGGTCTGGATTTGTCCCTATTTTCCCTTCACCTCCCATACATATGAGTGCAGTTGAATGAGTATTTTCCATCCACTCACTATAAACATGCATTCAAATTGGAGTTCATCTCACCTACCTTCAGCTTTAAATGTAGTCTAATTTAGTCCTTCTGTCATCAGGAAGAGAGATGGGCACTTCCAGCGAGTGATTCATCCCACTTGCTGTAGTTGTTTGTCCTATGATGGTAGTACGTGTCTGTCCTCAAGCTGACTCTCAGCTGAGTCCTTTTTGGCTGGGATTCCATCTTAATCTGGAAGACTAATTTTTATATGGCTGGGATTAGGAAAAATTAATTCTTTGTTAATTATCCTTTGTTTGTCTTTAGTTTGAGCATTTAAAAAAGTATTTACCATGCCTATCATTTTGTCCTGTGACCAGACTCTGAGGAGTCTGCTGCCTCCCTGGGTCCAGAGTAAGGGACTTCACCAGAAAACTCACTCATCTGGTATCGCCCTGCAACTACTATCCTTTATTAGTCTTCCAGGTGGGCAATGAGGAAATCTCAAGAAGCCTGAGGGGACTCAAGAAGGGCTTCAGGGCCTTGGGGCAACTGGTTCAGGGTTTGGGAGCCCAAGTAGTGTTCTCATCTCTCCTGCCAGTCACAAACAGTGACAATGGTAACATCAGAAAAATGGCATTAAGTAATTCCTGGCTCCATGACTGGTGTCAGTGCCAAAATTTTGGGGTTTTCTGACCACGGGTCAGTTCATACAGCACCAGGCTTGCTGAGGGGAGATGGGTTATGCCTGTCCCAAAGAGGGAAATAGGTGCTAGCCCAGGGTTTATGGAGAGAGCTTTAAACTAGGTTTGAAGGTGGAATGGGATAACACCAGGCTAACTAGACATGAGCCACAGGGTAGCATGCTGCTGTTGGAGTCGAGATCCACAGGGCAACTTAAATGCATTTCTGTCAATGCCCACATCATGGGCAACAAACAGGAGGAGCTGGAAGTTCTATGGGGCTGGATGAGTTCCACCCAAGAGTGCTGAAGGAGCTGGCAGAGGAGCTTGCTAAGCCACTCTCCATCATTTGTCAGCAGTCCTGATCTAGTTGGCAGGTGCCAGAGGTTTGGAGGTCAAAAAGGGCAGAAAGGAAGACCCAGAAACTACAGATCTGTCAGTCTGACCTCAGTACTGGGAAATGCTGTGGAGCAGATGATCCTAAGTGAGATCATAAAGCATGTGTGGGAAAATGGAGGGATAAGGCTCAGTCAGCATGGGTTTATGAAGCAGGTCCTGCTTGACCAACCTGATCTCCTTCTATGATAAGGTAACCCACCTGGTTGATGAGGGAAGGGCTGTGGTCATTGAATTTGGACTTAAGTAAAGCATTTGGCACAATTTCCCACAGCATTCTCCTGGAGAAATTGGCTGCTCATGACCTGAATAGGTGGATTCTTCACTGGGTTGGAAACTGGCTGGATGGCCAAGCCCAAAGAGTGGTGGTAAATGGTGTCATATCTAGTTGGCAACTGGTCACTAGTGGTGTCTCTCAGGGCTCAGTTAGGGCCAGTGCTGTTCAATATCTGCATTGATGACCTGTGTGAGGGGATTGAGTGCACCCTTGGTAAGTCTGCAGATGACACCAAGTTGTCTGGGAGTGTTGATCAGCTGAAGGATAGGAAGGCTCTTGCAGTTCAATCTGGACAGACTGGATTGATGGGCTGTGGCCAATGGGGTGAGGTTCAACAAGGCAAAGTGCAGGGTCCTGCACTTGTGCCACCACAACCCCATGAAATGCTACAGACTTGGGCAAGAGGGGCTGGAAAGCTGCTTGGTGGAAAAGGGTCTGGGGTGCTGATTGACAGAACTAAACATGAGCCACCAGCTTGTGCCCCAGCAGCCAAGAAGGCCAACAGCATCCTGGCCTGTATCGTCAATAGTGTGGCCAGCAGGACCAGGGCAGTGATCATCCCCCTGCACTTGTCACTGGTGAATTCCCACCTCAAATCCTGTGTTCAGTTCTGGGCCCCTCATGACAAGAGAGACATTGTGGTGCTGGAGTGGGCCCAGAAAAGGGGAACAAAGTTGAAGGGTTTGGAGAATGAGTCTTATGAGGAACGACTAAGGGAACTGGGGGGTTTAGTCTGGAGACGAGAAGTCTCAGGGGGAACCTGATCACTCTCTACAACTACCTAAAAGTGAGGTGGGGATCGGTCTTTTCTCCCATGTAACAAGTGACAAGACAAGAGGTGATGGCCTCAAACTCTGCCAGGGGAGGTTTAGACTGGATATTAGGAAAAATTTCTTTACAGGGAGAGTGTTCAGGCATTGGGACAGGCTGCCTGGGGCAACGGTGGATTCACTGTCCTTGGAAGTGTTCACAAACTGTGTAGACGAGGCCCTGAATGACCACGGTTTAGTGGTAGCCTTGGCAGTCCTGAGGTGATGGTTGGACTCGATGATCTTAAAGGTCTTTTCCAACCCAGTTGATGCTGTGATTCTATGATTCTATGGTTCTGTCTTTCTCTGCAGAATGGCAGTACCTGTCACCTGAAGTACAGCTTCATTGAGTTTCT